TCCTACTGCTACTGCTACCGCTACCGCTACCGCTACTGCTACTGCTACTGCTACTGCTACTGCTACCACCACCACCACCACCACCACCACCACCACCACCACCACGACCACGACCACGACGACGACGACAACGACGACGACGACGACCACCACCACGAGGACGACGACCACCACGACGACGACGACGACGACCACCACCACGACGAGAGGATGACGACGACGACGACGACGACGACGACGAGGAGGAGGAGGAGGAGGAGGACGACGACGGCGACTAAGATGACTATTAATGAAACTACCACTGGTAATACTACGACTACTAGTACTGCTAACATGACTACTATGATTACAGTCCTGTTGTGAAAACCTTTGCAACAAACAAGCATCTTTTGCGCAACAATCCCGCAAACCCCAACTCGTTAAGCTCAAGACTACCATTTTCGTGACAAGCTGACTGCAGACCACAGTAGCCTCCCCCAAACTAGCATGGAACCTAGCAGGGGCCCTCCAAAGGACTATAGGCACACTGTCTTTCTGAGGCCCCTCAGGGGTTCCATCTTAGTTTGGGAAAGGGTAGACCTTTGAATTGCAATCGGCTCGCAACTTACCAGTATGCATCCTTGTTTGGCCAACGCCCCAGAATTGTAGACACCCTGGGATCTGCCAAAGACTAACTTCCAGAAGATACCGCTAGACGAAGAGCTTGAGATGGTAGCGCCCCAACCATCGGGATCTTGAACCAAACCCGGAACAACCGATTCCCATATCAATACCAGAAGTCCCCTGCCCCACTTAGAACAACCGCCACTCCCCCCAATAATCTTCCCAAGACATTTTTTGTTACCAAATTGGAATGTTCATTATGTTGGGGCAGGGGCTCTGCGTCTGTTATCAGGCAGGACACCCTAAACCCCAACCTTTAACATCCCTATCGCCCCTATATGCCCCTATGTGACACCTTTGCTCCAAGTCTCAGATTGAAACTATGGGCCCCAAGCATTGGCCCTTAACCCTGGGATCCTTATATACCCACCATATACCCTTTCTGTACCCTTATACGGGTCTCTAGAATCCCCCTAATGGCCATAGTTGGGGCCCATACTTCTCACCTTAGACCAAGGCACCCTTGACTCCAGCGTTGGCCAGGCTATCTTTGACATCCGCCAGACGCGTGTTGTGGCCGATCTGTGGCTGAAGCTTTCAGGCGACGGAGGGAGGCAAAACGGGGATTGAGGATTTCAATGCTCGCATGGCCCAATCCTGAACTCTAACCACAAAAACCTTGACCCTAAACTCCGAAAACCTAACCTTTTGCCCAAACCCTAAACCGGCACGAGGAGTTTGTCGTGATGCTGAGCAGTGAGCTGCTTCACCCTATGGGGGGCTCCAAAAGATAGGGGTCCCCAGGTCCCTAGAATGAGGATAATATTATATTGGGACCCTATATGAAACTACCATTTCATACTACCTAATCCCCTAAATGCGTCCACACTAGCATTCAATTCGGCCATTAGCCCCCAGGCGCCGCACAGCGGATGCATTAGATTAGATGGAGCTTTTCTTAAGCTGCCCTTTCCCGAGTGATAGGGAACCCGCAGTCGAGGTAAACTCTACCCAGGAGCCGGTCGAAAGTTGCGTGATGGTGACTGTACATGCCTGTGACTACTGTGTTATTCTTAGCTATCACTTTCCCTGTCATCTCATCCATCTCCACCTTGGCTTGACTAGTATCCCTCTCTTATCATCCTCACAAGTCCCTAAGGTCCTCAGGCTAAGTCTAATCACTTTATAATTTCCATTTCCATTTCCTTGTCCATGTACTTCTCCATTTCTAGGGCAATGTCCCCCTAAACTCTATACAATCCCCAATACCCCAACATTTGGATTTAAGAAACCACCATAGAATACCTCAGGAGGACCCCAAACCCTGTAAATATGATTCTTTTTTATCCCTTATAGTCACTATTACGGGGGGGGGTCCACCTAACCCTAAACCCTAAACCCTAAACCCTAAATCCTAAACCCTAAACCCTAAACCCATAACCCTAAACCCTAAACCCTCAAGTCCCCCCTAAAGAATACCAGTCCACTGAGTTCCCTCAGCACCTCGAGCTGCGGAATGGCACGATCCCAGACACGGACACCAAGCGCTGTTGGCAGGTTCTTCTCCTGTGATACAGGGGCCGCAATAACGTCATGTGTATATAGATACAGATATATATATATATGTATTTATTTCTTTATTTATATATACTTATATATATTTGATCATATATATATATGTACATTTGATTTTAAGGTCTACTGGAGGTACGTACGCTATGATTACCATCCTTATGCAGGGATTCTAGGGCCTTGATATCGGTGAGTTGTTTAGGATTCTACATTGGATTCTTGTGCTATGGAGCTTGTAAGGTTTGGCGGTCTAGGGTTTCGATTTTTAATTTGTTCATGGCCGAGGCATTGCAAAATATGGTTCAGCATGATGGCAGTCCCAGGTCAATATGTGTCCATGCACACGAGAGCTATCCGTGAGTGAGGATGTACTCAGCATGCGAGATGTATCCTTCCCGCTCCTATCCAAGATTTGGCGGGGTTGGTTTGGATTTCCGGCTTCGGCAGATTTGACGCTTGGCGTGTTGAGGCTTACGCTCTGCGGGCTAGGCCTTGAAGGTGTGGGTTCAAGCGCTGTGGGTTCAGCTTTAGCATTCAAGTCAGGCATGTCCCCAAAATGATGTGAGCTATAGTGTAACCTCCTAGTATCCCCCTTACTCACCCCTATAGTAGTACCGCCCTCTAAGGAGTTCAGATTACAGCTCATGTGATCTCTGAAGTCAGGCCGCCAGGGAAAGGGAGCTGCTGTGAACCACACTCAAGGGTTGAGGCGGATCTGCCTTGAGCCCCTTTTGGGAATATGTAGGGCTACATAGGGTTTATATAGGGATTAAGTAGGGTTGTATGGGGATTATATGGGTTGTTCTGACCCCTTTTGGATATAGATTATTTTATGGCACCTAATACTTAGGGTAACCAAAATGGGACCATAATTTTGGAAACTACCCATGAGGTTTAGCGTTTAGGGTTTGGGGGGTGCTATGGGCCCGCTGCTGCCATGAATCTGAACCGAATAATCTAGACCCATGATTAATAAACCCCCTCCTTTTAAGGGCCTTAATATTAGGATCCCTATTATAATCCCTGTTAAGGAGAGGGGGGTTACTAACTAGGGGTCTACATTACTCTCCGTGTTGTCCAAAAAGATCTCATGTCCTTGACATGTCTTTGCATCCCAGTATGGGGTGTCCTTAGAGACGGATGGCATAGGCGGCTATAACGCAATTCTGGCTCTGCTACTAGGGACTGTCTTGGCATAGTTTGAGAGGCTCTTAACCTCAAGTTATGAAGTTTTTAATGGGGGCGGTCCGATGGGATAACCCTCACCCCCGAACCCTACCCTCTTAGATCCAACACTTAAGGATGTCCTTATAGGGAAGATAGCAGAAGATAGCAGGCATAGAAGGATACCAGGGATAAGGGCCCATACTTAAGGCCCATGGGATGTGGTAATGAAAGACCTGCCGGCTACGCCTCGGTCGGGTGGAGCATCGTCTGCACGGTATCACGATGGGTGGCCTGCAAAGGTCCCTAAGATCTCAAAAACAAATGGGGTTTCCCAGAGTTAGAGGTCCCCTTTCGGCGTGGGCCTAAAACCCTAGAACAAGGATTATAGCATTTGAGGGTCTTTATTGGGGTCCCCCTGCTTATGGAACTAGCAAATGGAGTTGTAAGTGTAACATTAAGGTCGTGAATTTCCTGTGCCCTGTAGCCCATGACGGCCTATGACAGAGAAGGGCAAACCAAATCATGTAAGTACATTAGGGTTGCTCAAGACGACGGGTGCAGAGTTGTGTTAGGGTCCTCATGGGACCTTACTGTTGGGAGCCTTCTATGTACGCCAACGCAACCTCCGCACTATCCTGCTGCAGCCATCGGTCTTTTCGCGCAGTCTCAGCACCGGCTCCAGCGGGAAAACGTATAAGAGGCCAGGTGACGAGCTGCAGAAGCAGGTCAGCAAGATCTGCTTATTGGCGGTTAGTAGTGAAGAAAGGAATATAGTAGGGATTATATTCCCTCATTCCCTTACAACCAGTAATTAGGTCTATGTACTTCTAGGGCATCCTTCATACAAACTTACACCCATCATGGCGGGAGTGTACAAGTACTTTGTGATGGCATTACGCTATGACCAAGCACCAAAAACATACACCATGCACCGTGGATCATGCAAAAAATCGTCAAAAATCGATGCACAAACTGTGTAGCATAAGACTACCCTTCCCGCTTGTCCATGGAAGATGTATGCCTTCGCCCTTTTTTTCACAGAAGCCTGACCTGCTTCTGACTGAATTCCATGTCTACATCGCGCTTCCAGCGCAGTTTACCTGCGCTCCTGCTTCGTTTACTAGGGTAGATAATGTTACTGGGTTGCTGCTAAGGAACTTAAATTAAGTTACCATAATGGGTATATATAGTAAATTAAGTTACCATAATGGGTATATATAGTAATTTATAGGGTTTCCCCAATATAGTAACTTAAATTAAGTTCCTTAACAGCAACCCAGGTTATTCATTGAAGCTTTCCTGTATACAAACTTAATCACCTACAGTAAACGATTTGTTGCCCCGTCGCTTTAGCATGAGGGACTCGTCATAAGGCTTCGACAATCATGTGCGGAAAATGACACAATCGACGGGAGGAGTGAGTATGGAGACTGAATCCATGAATGCTAGTCTGCTTCAGAGATATCTCCGTCGTCATCTTGACGACCTCCACCCAAAGCTGCATATACCTGCCAAGGGAAGACTGTTTTGAAGGCGATTTTGATTCAGTACAGCAGACCAGGCGTCGTGCAAGAAGGATTTCTGATGTCTTTACCTCGCAGCTAGGGTACTCAAAGCACGGGAACTCCTAAAGCCATCTAGTACGACCACTGAACACTCTTCTCGAGCACATACTTGTCCAATGTCTCGAGAGTTCTCGTCAGTACTGCTCGCTTGAAATACAGACCGCTTCCGAAACTCCAAACAGCCGTCTGGATTTTTAGATGTATATTGCTGATGCCATCGAGGGAACACACGTTACACACGCTCGTGCCTACAGTAGATCTCTCAGGAAAACCAAATACACTCAGCGAAAGATCCGTTATACCGTCGCCCTGTTGCAAGATTCCGGAGGAACCCCATAAACACTCACAATGAAATCTGATATGCCACTGAAACATAGGCTCTAGCCAATACAACCCTTCCTTGGAACCTACGCTTTAAAGACACCTATTTGGAACCCTAAACTTGATGACGCAGCAACCTTCTTACAATATGGAGACCCTTTCCTATCGGCCCATTGCTTGCAGGACCCCAGAGACCCCAAAAAGGGTAAAAGCATACCGCTGTGCTTCCCAGTACGTCTCAGAATAGATATTTATGGACCCCCGTAGGACAGACCACCTGAGGAGGACCCTTAGAAGGGATTAAGAGGGTCTGTCCTCTCTGGGCTGCTCTGGGGACCTCCTTGGCCTGTTGTTGGACTTTAACCTATGGCATCCCAACCTGGACACCACCTAAAAATTAAACCCTACAACCCTACACATACTTGCCAAAAAGCCATACTGAATCCCAGTTACCTAATAGTATGTTACTGGGCTGTGTAACTATAGGGTATATGGAACCCAGAACCTCCTCGGCGTGGCCCCGCACCCCTGGATCTGAGTCGCCCAGGAAGCCAGCAGCTTGTGCTGGTGAAGCGCCCATCTTCCTTGCTGATCCCTCCCCTACATGAGCTATAGTCTAAACTCCGTAAAGGGGTTATATCCTTAAACTCCCTAAAGGGGGTTATATCCTTAAACTCCTTAACGGGGGTTATGTCCTTAAGCTCCTTAAAGCGGGGGTTATATCCTTAGGGTACTCCTTCCATACAACTGAAAAAATTGATCCCTAAGGAGACTGCAAAGTAAACAGGGCCCAGCATCTCCAAAGCCGCCAGGGCGCTCCGCCGCACCTCGCCCGGGCAGGTTCGGGAGTCATGGAGCTCCCGCCCCCAAACTATGTAGGCATATACATATACATAAACATATGCGTGTATATGTATATATACACGTGTGCATTTACTTATACAGGTATATACATCTGCGTGGGTATGCGTGTACGTGCGTATGTATGTATGTATGTATGTATGTATGTATGTATGTATGTATGTGTGTAGGTAGGTAGGTAGGTAGGTCGGTCGGTCGGTCGGTCGGTAGGCAGGTACATATGTATGTATGCGTGTCTGTGTGTTCTAAATGCCGTGCCAATACATTTGCTTTTTTATCGGGGAGTTGGGGTGCTTTGAAATATGTCTTAGGGGGCTAGGGATTGCAAGCAGCGGGCTCGGAACTGCACTGAGGGCCTACAAGATTTTTCAGCTTCGAAGAACATGGGGTTGAGGAAATAGTCGTATCTGCGGACGTTGATATAAGTGTAGCCTTGTCAGGTCGTGGATAGCAGCTTCGGTCGAAGACTACATTTCAATCAAGACCATCCCGGCTTGCTGACAGTTATGCCCAAAGATTGTCTAGAACATGTCTTAAAGAATCAATGCGTGCAATCCCGTCCTGATTGTTGGGGTCCCGGGACAAAGCAGCAATCTGCTCTGCGTAAACGCCCATGTGCAAGTCTCCAAGAGCCACCACTGCTGCCAGGCGGACATGCCAGTCTTCATCCAGCAGCCGAAGAGCAACCTGATGCGAGTGGGTCTTGGCCACGCTGGCCGGCAGCTTGGAGTGCAGTGGGCTGAACACCTTTACTGCAAACTGTCTCACGCCAGGGTCCTCATCTTCAAGGAAAATTAGAGCTGACGAGGCCCCCTGCGCGCCCATCTTGGCTAAGGCTGACACCGCAGCTATCCGAACGCTCGAAGCCTTGTCCTTTGCAAGTTGCTCTAACTCAGGTGCGTGGTCCTCAGCCTTCAGACTCGACAGTGCTTGGATTGCAGCAAGGCGGGTGCTCAAGTCTCCGTCGTTGATGCAGGCGGCAACAGCCGCTTTGTGGCTCTGCCCTGCTACTTTCATCTTGCTCAAAGCCAGCAATCCTGCCTGGCGGGCTGCCGCTTGTGGTGCCAACAGAGACCTTGCCGCAGCCTCGGCAGCAAGGGCATCATCAAGGCCTCCCAGCGTTTCAGCAGCAAAATGCCGCAGACCCTCATCCGAGTCCTGAAAGAAATGCACGATTTGATCAGCACCGGCACTGCCTACCCGGCCCAAGGCCTGAACGGCTGCACGGCGCACTTTCACGTGACGGTCAGCTGCTGCGGAAGCAAGTGCCTGGAAGTGTTCGTCCGCGCAGTCAGCACCCAGCTCGCCACAAGCCTGTGCAGCAGCCATGCGGACAGCCGTGTCCTTGTGAGACACAGCCTTGGAGAGGCAGCTGGCATTTGCCACACGCGACACGGGGCAGCGTCCAATCTCCATGACAGCTGCTTTTGCGACTGACGGGAATTTGGAGGAGGTGAATGGGGCAAGTGCCTTGGCATGAGAAACTGCTACCAGGCACGAAACAGCAGCGAGCCCCACATCTTCGTCTGCATCCTGGTGTAAGGCAATGATCTTCTGGACATGTGGAGACACCGCCTTCGCGCTGACCTGGCCCAGCGCCCGTGCGGCCTCGCACCGAACTTCTGGATCTGCATCTCGGAGAGCAGCCACCAGTGCAGGAACCTCCGAGGAGGCCTGGAGCTTGCCAAGCGCCGCAGCTGCTGCCTTCCGCACCGCTGGCTCCTCATCATCCAGGCACTTGGCCACCTGGTCCGAATAGGTGTCTGCAGCGGGTCCACTGAGCCCTAGGGTCTGAAGGGAAAACCTCCGCGTGTTGGCATCCCAACTCGTAAGCTGGTCTGCTGCAGACTCCATGGCCTCCTGCTCTTTGTCCACAGCATATCCGCCACCTTGCCCTCCGGGGGCGTCACGGCCATTGCGGTACATGAGAGCACTCGTCCTGGAAACAACTTTTCAGTACTGGCCTGAGATAAACAAGACGGTCAACTGCAATGCTGAATCTGTTGATGTGTCCGCCACTTGCTTGGCATCCTGAATCTTCTTGGGGTATCCAGGAGGCAGTGAAAAAAGCATTTGCATAACGGGCACACAAGCTCTGAGGGGCCGAGAAACACGGGCATCAAAAGCAAAGAAAGACAGAGATGCTGAAGCTGCTGAGGTCAGGGGCTCAGGGTGCAGATGCCAGCCTCCACAGGTTATTTATGGAGCAGTCGGACCCTGCTATAAGGGCAGTCACCATGCCTAGCTGATGCTTTGGTATACCATCCGTCTCATCCCCAGACTTTCCGCAGGGTTGACATCATATAACTCATACATGATGGCCCCAGGAAGCCAAATTTGCGTGTCTGGATGAAGGACTATGCCAAAAAATGTTTCTTCCACGCAATGGCTCCAGGACATCACGTTTGACCCTGAACGAGCTTCGCAGTCGGCAGTGCCTCCACCAGCTCCCCCTCCGTCATGTCCTGTAGCCAAGGCCAACAACTATCTCATCAACTACTAATCCCCTCCCCATATTATTAACCCCCCCGCAATATTGAATAATCCAATCATGTGGTATCTTACAATATATCTGGGGAGGATTTAATGCTAGGGGGTGGGGGGGATTCATATAAGGGGAGAGAATTATGGAGTTCTGGCCAACTGTTGCTAGGTTGGGATGCAAGCATTACCTTATCGGCATATCGACATTTTTACCAGATACATAGCACACCGCAAGCAGTCAAAGCACATGGGCAGCTTTCAGGTCCAATCTGCAGTAAAATGTGGTGCCAATGCTTCAGCATTATCATACAATTGCCACACGGAGCCTTGCGCCCGTAGTCAACACCGCAAGCCCTGTACCACCAAGCTGGGCTCATGTTAGGTGTTTTAGGCTGTCCCACTCCTGAAACAGCTGCATGCATGCAGCTCATGTGCGTTCATGCTGATTTGAAGGATTCGCCTGAGGTCTTTTCAATACCCCGTGTTATGCCACCTAAGGCCTCAACCCAGGGCCTTGAAGCTTTGAAGCGTCGAATAATGTATCCGCAAATAGCTTGCTTGTGTCTTAATCCTCATATTTCCCCCACGCAACGCACACCCCAAGTCACCCCTACTTGAATTCCTTTCAATAACTCCCGTGTATCCTCATATTGAGAGGATGGAGAGATGTCAAAACTGTGGCCAAAGTGGGACCATAGCTTCGAACACCCCTCCCCAACGTTCCGGCGTCAAGGGCATCCCTTAGTTAGACCCCCCTAGGGTCTTGGGCTTAGGGCTTAGAATATCGGACCCCCCACCCTCCTATAGCTCTGGGTTCAAGGTTTATGCGTTGTGAAGTAAGGGTTTCGGTGGGTAATTAAGGGCTTAGGGTTGAGGAGTGCGAAATTAGGAGGGCCGCCACATCATCACCCTTATCCCTTATAGTTTCTATTACGGGGTGTGGGGTCCAAGTAAGAAATGTAAAAGAACAATAACGATAGTAATAATAATGAGGCCCTGAGCTACTTGTAGCAATGACAATGACAGTATTAATAATAGCAGTAAGAATACACATGGTAATATTAATGATCATGTTACTGGGTGGGGGGGGTCCACCTAAATCATCGCAAGTCCTAAACCCTAAACCCTATTCCCTGAACCCTAAACCCTAATCCCTAAATCCTAAACTCCGAACACTCTTCTTGGGTCGGCCTGGATGCCTCCGAAGAGCTCAGGATCTCGAGCACCGCCTAACGGAAGTTAGGATCCAGGGTTTATAGGGCTTAGGGTCTGCAGATTTACAGGGCTTACGGTTTAGGGTTTATAGGGTTTAGGGTTTAGGGTCTACAGGATTTACAGGGCTTGAGGTTTAGCGGGTTTCGGGTGGGATTTTCGTGGTTTGGGGTTTATAGGGTTTTCCCAGCTTTAGCATGGAGCCCCACATGTAATATGGCGAGGTATAGAGGGGATTATGTAGGGATTGTGGGGTTTCATCCATCTCTACAGGAAGCCCAACTGTACATGAGCTATAGTCTAAA